CCCCCCCCCCCCGCCCAGAACGTTACCTTTAGGATTACCCCCTTTCTACTTCTCTGCCCTCGCTGCTCCCCTTTCCATTCCTCTCCGCTCCCACCCCACACTCCTTTATTCTTCGCGAGCCTCCGATTTTGGGGGGCTGTGGGATCGGATCGTTTGGGGCCAGGCGGTGAGGGGGCGAAGAGATGAAAAGTCCATTTCAGACCCAGGCAGAACAATGAAATAGGGTAAAATCTCCCCGCATTAGCGTGGGGAAGGGAGAATGTAGTTTGGGCTTTCAAGTCGGGGGGCGGGGGGCGAAGACGTTTCTCTGGATCGGTCTTGAGAAATCTGTATTGTGCACCTTCTTCACCTGGCGTTGGGTGATTTTTTTTTCTGATTTGACTGTCTTCAGGAAGAAAGAAAAGAAGGTAAGACAGAGGCACTACATTTGCTTTGCACACTCTTTCGTTTCTCTTCAGTCAGTTCCTGCAGCTTCCAGCCAGAAATCAAACCGGAATCAACTAAGTTTTTACACTTCGGTGTGTTTTTGTGTGCTTGTAGTACGAGGGATTTTCAACCAAAGTGTGTCTGATTTTTCAGTCACTTCATCGTGAAAATGTTTCTCCCATGAAATCATTGAAATAGCAGCCTTTACATACTTTTAGTGAGGGTCCATCTGGCTTTCTTTCGGTTTTGTTCAGATATTCTCTGGATGAAATCGCAAACGAGAGGGGAAAGGGTTTGCATGGAATGGAGAGGAGGGGCAAGAAGAGATTGTAATCCTATAAATCCAGGAACAGTTGTGGTGAGTAGACAGGGATCACATTAATAGTTTTATCTCTGTTAGGAGAGGCTGATTTGGGGAAGAAAAAAAAAACTTATCTGAAAAGAAAATCTGTTATTAGTTCTAGGGCTCCAAATGAATTAGGTTTCTGGATGGAATAAAGTTACCAGTCAGGCCCTGGATAACGAGGCTGTAAATAACCTATCGACTGTAAATATTTTTTTTTTTTTTTTTCAGACTCTCTTAGAAACAAAGGGGCTGTTTAGAAGGCAACAGAGAGATGTTATTCCAGGGGCTTTCCTCTTTGATTCTGAAGAACACAAGGTCCATTTAACCATTCGACCAAACAAAACCAAATTTCTGATCACTCCACCACACAGAATAAAACATGCCGGTGGATTTGTGAACGCCTATAAGAGCCCATGTCGGGCAGTCATTGTTCATCTGTGTCTAGTGGAGGGGGCTGCAGTCAAAGCTCCCACTGTCTAGAGTGTTAAAATGAAACAGTTTTCTCTTTATTAAGTACCTCTTTGAGACTCCCTCTGCTGGACACTCGGGGTGAGAATTAGAGAAGGAACTTGGCATTGAATTCAAAACTATAGTAGACGACTGCTTTCTCTGTTACAGGGGGCTGAGTACGTGGGTTGAGATGTATTTTGTCAACTTTGTACAAAGCCATCTTGGGAACTACGCTGTTCTCCTCTTCTCTTCATTCTAAAGCCATATGGAATGTAGGCCATCTCCCCGTGGGCTAAGACTTGGAGCTCCTGTTCTTATGCATCCTTCTTTCAATGTATCACACCAGATAAAGGATTGTAGGTGTGTGAGGTGCTATGGCTTCAGAATAATCATGGATCTCTAAGGTCTCAGCTCACAGTTTTGCCAGTCTTCCTTCCCCTTCCCAGGTGACTTACCTGGTGACCCCTTTCAACCCTGGGTTTCCATCAATCTCGTATGTGTAGTCTTATTGTTCCTGTATTTTGTGGCATTTTCTCTGTGCCTCTTTATAATTTTTTGAGTAGTCTTCCTCTTCACCTGCTCTTGAGCTCCAAACTGAGATCTGGTCTTTCTGAAAGAGACTATTGGTCATGCTTTAAAGCAGATCGATGACCTCCACAGTCGAGAATTATGCTGCTGGGACCTCCATTTACTCGCTGTGACGGGTGCTTCCAAGACTCCAGTGACCTCCTTTTTCCCTCTTGGTGACATCTGCTGGATTCAGTGAACTTGATTTTTACCATATCCTAATCAGAACACACGGACTCCCTGTGTATGTCTTAAATGAGTGGTGTTTTTCATGTGGAATTTTCCAAGAAGAGGGATTTCTAATGGGTTTTGAGCTCTTAAAAATTGAATATGATTCTTCTCAGGAAAAGTATAATGACACATGAGGCCTTTCAGCTGGAATTGCTTAAATGGAATGCAACTGTACCCAGTTAGAATGCTGGGTGAAGGCCATAATGCATTAGTAAAGCATTTGTAACTGCCAGAGATTTAGACAGGAGTACTGTTTTTGAAACAAGGTATGTTTGATAATACAAATTAATGGGCAACAAAGTATAATCAGTTTTCCGGGACTTGCTTTAAGGATAGGTTTATAAACAGCACATTAGCTTTCAGAGGCTTGGTACTGATCAAGTTAAACTTCTTTTTAAAAAAGTTTATTTTCTTTAGAAGGTTAAACATTTGCCTTGTGATTGTATTTACTCCATTAACTTGCTTAGCAAGGCCTTTTCAATATGAGTGCAAAGGCCAACCACAAAGGTCTGTATTGCTGTGGGTCCTGAATTAGAGGAACCTAAATTCCAAGTTCATTATGTCTGACTGTACCTGAGATGTGATGTGTTGATTAGTGGGGGCTTATATCGAGGAACACTTTGCAGAGTTCCAGAAACTATCCTGCTGAAACTCATCATCAGATGGACCCAAAAGCACCTGTCTATTAAGATGCCTACCAAGAAGGGAGATTCTGAATCATCTTCCCTTAAAAAAATTTGATGACACAGGTTCTAAAATATCTCTTCCTGTGTTTATGTTTTATATTTTTAAAATGAGTAAGTATAAATATTGTTTTTCGACTCATCACATTTGAGTAGTGAATCTAAGCTCAGTAATTTTATCCTTGATTCTGGACACTGTGGTATGAGACTAGAAACAGAAAAATCTAGAGTCTGAATTGAGCCGTATGACTTTGGGCATGTTTCTTAACTTCTTGGAGCTTTTTTTTTTTTTAAGCCTTATTGGATTGTGTGAAGACTCCATTAGAAACTAGTGTTTAGTGAAGTCCCTGGCTGTAGTAGGCATTTTCTCAGTATGTATTAAATCCCTCTATCTTCTGAGCTGCTTATGGCGTGACCACTCCAGGGAAAGAATAACCCACAAATAGTTTAGAAAACCAATAATAGCAACATTTCAATTATTAATCTCCTGCTATTCCTTTTGCAGTTTGGGCACCAGCAACAATAAACCCCCTAGAGCCACAGAAGAAAGAACCTTTTTTTTACCCCCTCTGTGACCTTTCCAGAGCCTTTATTCCCATTGAGCTTCTGCTGGTTTCAGGTGGAGAATTTCTCTTCTATAGTGGCACTTTCTGTGCTACTTTAAAAATGTACAAATACTAGGACAGAGTTTCAGGGGCTATAACTGTGCCTCTGGCAAAGTATCCCCAAGTGTGAAAGGTGACCTTTGCCCTTAGCCAGGATACATTTCTGAACAAGGTAGCAGGCTGGGCAAGGAGGTCCAGAGGTGGCTCCTAGGGACCTCTTTCGAGGGGAGGATCCTACCCAGCCATGGTCCAGGGTCTGCTCCACCAGGCATTAGACATCACTTTTGTACCAAAGAAAACTTGGTGCTTTATGTAAGTTACAGCTGCTCATATTCTTCATATTTTATGTTTTATATTCCTTCGTTTCTCTTCCTTCCTTCCATAGAGACCAATCTTGGGGAGCCACTTTTGAGGTTTGCATGGAACAAAGTAGTGATGATCAAGAGGGTAGGATATGTGAGCATTTTTTTATTGTTCTCTGAACATGTAATTTTCCAGTGCTCTCTGGTAGTCTTGTGATGACGATTTGAGCACTTGGGGTTGCCATCAAAGACGGGATTCAGAATCATACCAGCAGACTTTATGTAACCCCGATAGAGTGTGAACTTGAAAGGCCCAAACTTGTCATAGTTCCATTTCATATGGGGGAGGGATTCATAAAATTGAAAACCTGGATTATAAGATCTTTATTTTTCCTCTAAAAGAACCTGACATACTTGGAGTTGGTGATGTTAATTATGACTTAGGCTGTGCTTTGTGCTGGGCGCTTTCTGTACCCTCTACCCACACAAACTCCCTGTTCTCCTGCTCTGCAGACCAGGACACATCCTTAATGCATTCACTCAGCAAGCATTTACTCAGGGTCTGCTATGTACTGGGCCCCCTGACAGGTTCTTAGTCTGGAGAAATGACAAAGACTTGGCCCCCACCCTCGAGGATTATAGGAGAATAGGAAGTAAAGCCAAATAGTTAAACTTGGACCACTGTGGGGGTCTGGGGGTCTGGCCCCATATGCAGTCTTTTTTCTTTCTTTTTCTAGTGGTAGTTCTTACATGCTTATGTTTTCTTTCTTTTTTTCCATGCTTATGTTTTCTTAAGGTATAAAGGGAATACCTTATTTCCCTATTTTTCTCTTGAAATATTTTCTTTATGTGGACTAAAAAATAAATAAATAAATAACGTATATAGGAGTGTCACATATACTCACAGATTTTCTTAGAAATGTCTTAGATGTTGCCATCTCTCATTTGCAGTCTTCCTCTTTCATTACTTGAATTGTGTATCTTTGTCAATGCAAACACATTTCTCATGCACATACCACTGGGACATTTTGTTGTTGTTGTTGTTGTTTTGCATTTAGAGTCACAGGCTCTGTTGTGGGTGGGCTCTGGCACCCACACGTGGCTGTTGGAAGATTGATGCCTGCTTTGCTGTCCTGCTGAGCTCTTGTATTCCAGGTTGCTCTGCGGTGGTACTTGGTGGGGTCATCCATCAGGTGGTCATGCTGCAACATTCAGTGCCACTTCCCAGGAGCAGATCATCCTGGGAGTTGTGAAAAAAGAAAAGCCTGGCTCTGTCCTTAGGAATTTAGAGCCCAGAGCAGGAGCAGACCTCCAGAGAGATGTCATTCATGCTCTGCCTTCAGGAAGGTGAATGTCTGTGACTTGAAATCTTCAGTTCATTAAAACTTTTTTTTCCAAGAAAGGGCACCAGGAACTCCCTCAGTGACCAATACCAGTATTCTATTAACCTGATTGTCAAGACATTCCTGGGCCAGGCAGAAATGGCTCCTGCTGTCATTCAAACTTGTTTTCTTTTCCTTGGTTCTTTTCTTCAAAACCTTTCATGTACTTGAGGATAAGAACTGGGTCTCTTTAGCTTTTTCCTCACAGAGCCTGTTTTATGTTCCTGAGAGCATCTACTTTCTTTCTGAACTCTAGCTTCTCCTCATTAAAAAAAAAAAAAAAAATGGTGATCAAATCTGAATGTAGTTCCTTCATAATGTTCTTATTAGTACAGCATATGCAAGAAAATGACTGCAGGGTTCTTGCATCTTTGGGAACCCCTGGAGGGCAAGAACCAAGTATGATTCATCTTTGTATCCCCCACAATAGCTGTATAGTTCCTTAAACCTAGTAGGCATTTCGTAAATATTTGTTGAATTGACTGTGCATTTTAATATCTCTAAGTAATGACTTACTTCAGAACAACCCTGGGTGGTGGCTCCTATTAAGCCTGCGCTCACCTCTTTCTCTTATGCTTGTGTCTGATGTCCTCACCCTCACCTCAACAAGGCCACCACTTCTGCTTGACTCTGGAGCACTTTGAATTTCTCCTCTCTGCTTTCAACTCTAGAATCTTTCTTAATTATTTCCTGTGGATCTGACCAACAGAATGCAGAGGACATAAAGTATAAAAAACTTGCACTGCTCTTGAATGAAGAAAAGAGAGCACACAGAAGAATCTTGATGATTCAGTGTAATGTCAGTTCACCCAGGTTTGGGAAGGACGGTTTGTCAAATTCTTTATGGATTCTGAGTCAGCAAGAGCCATACCTGTTTTACCAGGTCCTCTAAGTTGGCCAGCTCGATGTTCATGAGAGTGGTTGCCAGGCAGATTTTCAGAGGGGATTCCTTCCTCTCTTTGGTGTAAAGCCAATGGGAAAAGCAAAAGAAATAATGGGCAATCTCATTGCAACTGGGTATTTTCTGATGCGGGACTTTGCCATTAGAAAGCCAGGTAGGAAAAAAGTTGCAAAGAAAAAAAAAAAATCCAAAAAACAAGCACACACACACACACACACACACACACACAGGCTCTTTAAAGCTACAAAACAATTTTGTGGTTTTATAGCCACTTATTTCTGAACATGGCATTGAACTGATTTGTAGTGATTTTGTTCTGTTTTTAACAATTCTTGCCTAACCACTTTTGCCCTAGTAGGTTCTGATTAATTAAATGCCACCATGTAAGCAGAATTAAGATTGATTGACTCTTCTGCATGTGCTAATGCTGCAGACTTTATAAAACCTTTGTCACAAAAGAATGCAGTCTAATATATGAGCGGACAAGGGCATTCCCCCCCAGGTGGTTCTGTCCATCTGCAGTGAAATATCACTATGGAACTTTCTATAACATTAGATGGAAAAGCATTTTTGGTTCACACAGTTACAGATTGCATCCTGATGAAAAAACGTTTGAGGCTATTTACCATTTTCCTCCATACCAATGTTTCCTTGTTGATTCAACCTATGAATTGTTAGTTAAATATGAAGTAACTTTTCCAATTATTATAATAAAAGCAATCCATCATGCTAGTTCTATATACAACTTGTAGCTTCAGAGCATTCAAGAAGCACATTTTAATGGTATTTGTTCCTGCAGTCCTGTTAGAAGTCACATAAGCCAGATGTGGTGGTATACGCTTATAATTCCAGTGGCTCAGTAAGCTGAGGCAGGATGATCATGAGTTCAAAGCCAGCCTCAATAACTTAGCGAGGCTTCAATTCAATTAGTGAAACTCTACCTCAAAAATAAAAAAATAAAATAAAAACGGCTGGGTATGTGGCTCAGTGGTTAAGTGCCCCTGGGTTCAATCCTTGGTACCCTACTCCCCCAGAAAATCATATGTTAAATTTGGAGAATATTGGCTTATTGTTGGTTGTGAAAATGAGGGGGGGATAGGGGTTCTTATTTTTTTTTCTTCTAATAAAGAATTTATAGGGCTCTGACAAAAACCAGAATGTAAATTCTTGAAACTGTATAGAAAGGGGCAGTTCTAACTCCCAAATTCTGTGTAACTGCATCCACCCCTCCGAATGCATGCTGCTAGCAGGAACTTCAGGTAGAAAGTGAATTTCAGGGGTGCTTGTGCCAAGGAGAAGTAGAGAGAAAGTGTGCAAGAGAATGCCCATGTGCCATCAGTGCCAGCCCCTGAGCCTCTTCCATCTGTGGCCCAGCACAGTGTGATCACTGTTATTCATTAAGTATGACCTGCACCATCAGGAAAAGATTAATCGATGTTCATTATGTTCTGCTAACTGAGACTGGGAGGTTCTATAATGTATTACAGAAATGAAAATGGTTAAAATAGAGAAACTCTCTCCTTTGATTTACCTGGGACTTACTCCAAAAGGGATTTAAGGCTGCTTCAAGGGTTAAGTTCCTGGTAGAGGGGCAAGTTAATTTATGCAGATCAATTTTGTGGATCAGCTTATTTCCAAGGAAGTCGGATAAATGAGGTATTTCTTTCTATAAAGAGACAACAGAAACAGTCCAAGCTCTTGTGCCGGCTTAACAAGGTGAATAAGCAGAGCGCATAATGGAATTCATTTGCAAAGTAATTTTTGCTTGGCTTGAGTGGTAAGCACAAAATAGACCAGCAGATGAGAATGGTAAGTGTTTGGGATCAGTTGTTGAAAGGTTTAAAAGGGGTTCTAATTCAAGAGACATTTTATGGTGTGGAGAAGGGGACCGATATAATCAAAATGATACTTGAACAAGGTAATTTTTACCAGGCTAGATATAATCGGAGGAAGGAGGCAGCTGGAGGTGAGCTCTGTGGGGAGGCTGGGTAGTGTAGCGGGAGGTGTGAGCCCCATGGAGATGGGGCCGCTCTCAGGGTCACCCAGGAGGACGTGCAGATAGCTCTGGTCAGCATGCCTGGCCCAAGGGTTCAATAATTATTTGTTCCTTTTTGCTTTCGTCCCTGAACCTTATGGCGGAGATCTAGGGTGGGGAAGACTTGCTGGTGTTGGCGATACCATGGTATCGTTCTGTTCTTCTAAGAGTTTCTTCTTTCTGTAGGCTCCTCGCATTGCCCAGGATCTTCTTGAGTCATAGTATATACCTGGCAAGGTCTTCATGAAGTAGTATTCAGCTTTTGACACAGGAGGACACTGAGGTCCAGAGCAGTGAAGAGCCTCTCTGATACTGGACAGGGAGTCTGCGCGTGGGGGACACAGATCCAGGCTCGTCCACCCCCTGCCCTGGGCAGTGTGCACGAAAGCCCCCAGAACACCCCAGAATGCTCCACATCTCCAAGTGGAGCTCCGATGTCATGGTTCTTAGGAGGCTATCAGAGCCACTTACCTCTGTCCCCAGACTGTGAAAGTTACTGAGTTTCGGTCCTCTGGGACCACTTGCAGTCTGCAGTGCTGCCTGGGGCCTATTCTGGAGGGAATCTTTCCTTCTTTCCCAAGGAGAGAAAAGCCACAGTGCCCTCAGCTCCTGTGTTTACAGTCTTCTGTTAGGAAGTTGTTCCTTGTTTCCCTGAGAAGTTCGCAGCTTGTCACCATGAGCTACTTATTAACAACAACAACAGAGACTCACAGGAGAGGAACCAGTACAGTCATGATGAGTTTCACAGAACCTCAAAGCACTTTTAAGTCATTAAGCAGCTTTTTAAAAAATATTTATTTTTTAGTTGTAGGTGAACACAGTATCTTTATTTCATTTTTATGTAGTGCGTCACGTGTGCTAGGCGAGCGCTCTACCCCTGAGCCCCAGCCCCAGCCCTTTTTTAAAGAATACTGATTCCCCAAGGTCTGATTTAGAGTCTTTCTTTCCCTTCACCATGACCACAGCTTGAGACCTGCCATTGCTTTCAGCCATGACATTCTGATCCCATGTGGGATCCTGGGTGTGCATTTTTGCCTGGTGCTGCTCCAGACCTGCCTTAGAAGCATGGCAGTTCTTCCAAGCAGCCTTTGAAAGTATCTGAACACAGATTTTTACACTCATAAGAGCTTGACATTTGTGGGTCCTGGGACCAGAGCACAGCACCAGGCCCAGCCTACCACTGACCCTTCCTGGTTTGTGTGTCCAAGCTGCTACCCCCTCCCCCTCCTCTTGGACCTAGGGGTGTCTATGGGATGCCTGTCAGGCCTATGTGTATGCCCACAGGCCCTGGGAAGGGACCCGGAAGCTGGCATGGCCCTTGTGAAAGGGAATCCCCACAGCCCCAGGGCCTGGAAGAGAGCGGCTGCTCACCTGTAAGTGGTTACACACCTTGACTCTGGGGACTCCTGAGCCCTGGGGAGGGTATGGCAGGGACCCTGTGTTCTGCCTAAGGGCAGTGCTGATAAGGGGACACCTTGCTTCAAACACTTGGGCAACAGACACTCGAAATGTTTCCTGTTTGTCGAAGTGATGTTTGGCTGTTGCTTCACTCAGCTGGGCTCCCTTCCTTCCCTCCTCACCCTGGGTTTTCTACATAGTGCTGCTTTGCTTTGTGAAGCTTAAGTAATGAAATGGGCCACTCTCCTGTTGCAGCTAAGGGAGCATGTTCACAGTGAACCTGGTCAGTCTGGCCACTGTTGTGTGAGCTCTGGCCCTTGGCATACGTGGCGCCCCTCCATCCTTGATGGCGTCTCTTCTCTGCTTCTACCTGCTTATGATCTGCCTACAAAGCCAGACCCTTTCCCTCGCTCCTTATTCTTTTGAGTGGGGGCACCTTCAGGGCCGTATGTGCCTTGTCATTCTGGTAGGACTGGGGCTTTCAGTGGATGTAGGCATGTTGAGAAGTGGTTCTCCGGCCTCACAACCACCCAGGATGGCTTCTTAAGACACGGGGACCCACCCCCAGAGATTCTGACTCGTGAGGTCTGCAGTAGGGCCCAATAGTTTGCATTTCCGGTTGAGAATCTTTATTTTGGAGGAATGAAAATTCAGTAAATACTTAAAATCAGATGATGGTTGCTTTGATGAAAGCTTTTCCTGGACATGAGTGTGATACCGGCATGGCATGTCTGCAGCTCTGCAGCCTTTTGTAGCCGGGCTTCCCGAAGTTTGCAGATCCAGCCCAGCCTCCTCCCCCTCTGCCTTCCCAACTTCTCCCAAGCAGGACAGGTCAGTAAGTACAGGAGCTACTTTCTCTTGGTCGTCTAGAGCCAGCCAGTCTGTAGGCCTTGCTGTTTGGCCCTGGGGCCCCAGAACAGAATGGGAGTTATTCTTACAGTAGCATATTATTATTAACCAGCGTTTAACAGCTCTATGATTTTCTCTGTTTACAGAAGAGAAAATTGAGGCTTAGGGATATTAAATAACGTATCCAAGGTCTCCTAACCAGTAATTGGTAGAGCCAGGGCTTGAATTCGAGTCCACCTGACGCCAGAGCCCACTCTTGTCTTGACAGGCAGGCTGCCCTGCTTCTCCCGGGCGAGCCAGAGTGGTCTGCATGACATACGAGGGGTCCAGCATGAAGGGGCTGGGATCCTTCCTAGAGAAGAGGCAACTAAGCTGGAGACCGTCAGTGCTAGAGTGTTTGTGTCCCCATAGGAATGTCCCAGTGCCCTGGCCCTGCTCGGATGAGGTGGATGAGGTAGTAAGGGCAGAGCATGCAGTGTAGTGGCTGTCGCGTGGGAGGGAGGTGGGGTGGAGGAGCACGCCCAGAGCCCTCTTTGAGCAGCAAAACAGATTCCAAATCTGAGAATAATCTCACTGAGACCTCTAGGGGAAAATACTCTGAAAAGATGATCCTAACAGCAAATCGAATCCAGCACTTTCAGTTGCCAGTTCTACAACGTGGCATGTTTGAATTTCTTGCATCTCTGCAGCAGTGCCACAAGGTAGACTCCACTATCATGTGGTCTGTGGATGCAGGGGAGGCTCCGGCAGCTCACACATGCAGAGCTGGGTTCCCCACCGCAGTAGGCGATTTGGATCCTGCAGTTACCCTCCCCCCCCCCCCCTCCCCCCCCCCCCCCCCCCCCCCCAACGATGGCTACCTTTTAGACAGTCTTTCCAGTTCCTCCCAGCTCAGGAAGTGGGGTTTGTAAACATGTTGGCTTCTCTCCAAATATAAATGGCTTTTGTTTCCATCAAAATCTGGAAATGTGTTTTAAAATTTGAGACACTGATTTCTGTTGCTTTTCTTGGAAGAGGTGTTGGGCATAGACTAGTCGGGCCTGAAAGAAGAATAGCAAAGGGGCTAGGTGCACCCAGTGTTAAGCCATACCACTTCAAATTTAGCACAGAATTTGACAGATCCATCCACAGGGCAGAACAGGTGAGCCCAAGGTAAGGCTCTGTTGTCTGAGAGCCTTTAACAGATGATGGAGGAGGAGCCATGGAGCAGTGGGGATAAGAAAGCTGGTAAGACAGATGAAATGGGACAAGATGTTAGCATCTTGAAAAATGTCCACAGGTATCATCATCTCACATCGTTACACCACCATAAATCCTGCATGATTAAAATGTGAGATGAAACAGAAATCTACTGAGCACGACCAGTGTGCTGGGCCTGTTGTAGGTGCTGTGTGTACAGCGATGAACTGAAAGGATAAAACTCTGCCCCAAAGCAGCTTGCATTGTAGTAGATAAAGGTGAATAATCCACTTTTTAAAAAAAGCTGGAAGGAAATAGAAGTGGATTTTTATTAAAACCTCTGGAGGAGTTGAAATTTCCTAAGATCAGAATCTATAGGTGAAATCACAGAGAAAAATATCATTAGTTTTGTCAGTGTAAACATACCCAATGTTAAGGTTATTTCTGGTTTTACCATCATGAATTATTCCTCAGGTTCTCCTATGTAACATTAAGTTTCGACTGAATTTTAGGATAAGTTCTCCAAAATAGATTTCCTAGGTTAAGAGATTCATTAGGTTTTAGATATATGCTGTGAGATCCATTTCTTCCTCAAAGTACTTTTATATTAAATAAGTCAAACCACCTTGAGAAAGACTTAAGTTAACCACAGAGTTTCTTGCTGCTCTTAATCCTGGGCCCTGCTCTCATTCCTGGGGTGGCATGTCAGTTACAGGCTTTAAGTGCCACCTTTGTGTGTCACTGACTCCCTACATTCTGTCCTTACCTAGGCTTCTTTTTTGAGCTCCAGAGTCACAAAGCCAACAATCTACTTGACATCTCTTTAGATGTCTCATAGGCATCTCAACCTTTTCATATCCAAAAAAAAAAAAAGTTCCCTGAAGTATACTGTGGCTCCAGAAGTCTTTAGTTCCACGAACAGCAGCTTCTTCTACAGCAAAAACCTGGGGTTGTCCTTGACTTTGTTTTACTACACATTTAATCTATCACCTAATTTTTTTGATTTTTGCCTCCTAAGCACAGCCATTCTCGTTATTTGCCATGGTTGTGCTCTATAAAGTCATGGGGACACTGCATTAGTGAATACTGAACCTTCGAGGGGCAGTGCAGGGTCAAGTGTCTGGAAGCCTCTGGTCATATTTTCATCACCTGATCAACACATGGTGTCACTGACATTGGAGTCGTGATGTCATATGTTGGTGGGCATTGTGTGTTGGCCTAACATCACGTATGCTGGTGTGATGATGATGTTTTACGGGTGTTTCTGTTTGAAGACAACCCTATTTTAATAAATGTTGTTGCCTCATTAACATTGAGCTCATGGCCGCAGCCCTGTAACTCAGGCCTGAATGAGCTTATCTAACACATGTATTTTCTCATAAGGCCTGCTGTCAGGAGTGAGCTATGCTGTTAACATAGACCAAACACGTTGATGTCTTTCCACAGTGTTAGAATTTATTGAATAACAATAAATCTGCCAGCTATATCACTTTTATGAGTTGCAGTTTACCAAGTACTTGTGAGTCCCTTGTATGTGCCAGGCAAATCTGAGGTTCTTATATTCTAATTTGAATTACTAATATCTGTAACACTGAAGTCCCATATCACACCTTACACACATCTCTGTGTGTGTGTTTGTGTTACATAAAGGTTAGGAAAGGGTTAAGGTGGCCAGGGGGGTTCAGGAGACTATACCCAGAGCAAGGCAGAGAGCAGATACAAATGCAAGAGTCATTGCAAGTGGTCAGATAAGATTAAGAACCAGCCAGAGAATGTGTTCAGGGTGCGCCACTGTCGGAGCACAGAACTTGCTGAAGGCCAGGGTCTGCATGGTGTGCACTTTTGAAGTGAGCCAGGTCAAGCAGGGAAATCCAGCTGAGCTGAAGCCTGGGGACCTCATGACATTTACCGGATGGTCTGATGACAGGTCAGTGTGTACTGCCCCAGCAGTCTCAGTGTTCCTCCTGTAATGGGTGAGAAGGTGGCTTCATTCTGTGATCTGGTGTGTTTGATAAGCTCATGGACCTGATTTTTCTGATAAAGGATTGATAACCCCATGCCTCCATGTGCTTCTGATTTAATTCAGTAGATTCACAGGTGGTCATTT